GGACAGCTGTGTTTGCTTGTTATTTGCGTGTTTGTTCATGCCGTTTCACATGTTTCCTCATTAGCGAGTTGCCATATGGACGCGACGCGTTCAGTCAATCTGCCTGCGAAAACCCCCATCAGCCCACACACACACACATGCCTTCAGGGAAACACGTCTGCGCTTATAAATGAAATTCATAATATCTTTTTTTTTTTCCCCTCAGAGAGACACCCGGGATTGTAGACCTCAGGAATATTGCTTTATGATAATGTGGGTCATGGCAGACACGTTTATTTTCTTCGTGCCTGAATTTTGTGCCGTGCAATTAAACCGAGCAAGACGTAGTTCATTAAAACAGGTAATAGTCAGAGATACTCAAAGGTTTGTTAGACGTTAGCTTTTAAATGCTAATTGGCGCCATGCTGGCGTTCTCCACGCACAATTAATTACCGCAGTTAATTAAGAGCGGAAATAGCCGGGGTGATCGCTAATTATGATTGATTTCCAATTTGTATGTAGATTTCTGTCTTCAACTCTGTCGCTTTGCGTAGCAGAGATGTTTCATTTGCGCTAACCAGGTGTGAACTTAGCTAAGTGTGTAGGTGTGAGCAAGTGTGTGTGTGTTATGAAACAATAGCGATTACAGAAATTACTAATTATTCCCCAGTCTTCTAGAGTCAAGAATTGTGTAGTGTGAATTGCTAGGCAAAAACCCACTAAACTGCATATTTTACCTGATTATACCGCGTTGTCTTAACAGCTGCTCAATGTATTTTTACATGGACTCTACTTAAAGTTTAACCATTAAAACCATTCATTCAGGGAAAATTGAAATATATAAGTCATGTTTAAAGGTCTCATGAAATTAAAATGAAGTTTTTAGATGTTAGCATCTGTATTGTGCATTTTTAAGATATCTATAAGCTAGTCCACACGAAAACACTGACAAAATTCATGTTTAGAAGATGTAAAACGGATATAAACATGTAAAGTTTGTAGTTCATCGCTTCCGCCCAAATGGATTGACTGTTTTATCCACGTCAACAATTATTATTATTATTATTATTATTATTATTATTATTATTATTACTGTTTTTATTAATATTATTTTTTTATTATTATTATTATTTATTATTTATTATTATTATTATTAATATTATTATTCAAATCTTCTGACCAATCAATGCTCTCTAGTGTCTGACAATCCCCGCCCCCTTAAGGACGCTTCTTATTTGCTTTTCATTTGATGCACTTGAACTCAAACACTCTCACTGGCAGAGCTGTAATAAAACAAAACCCCATTGGCTGTTTTTTTAAAGGGGAGGAGCTACATTATGCCCTGCCCTCTAATTGTTTCGGTTTAGATTACGTCAAACTTCGAAGAAAATGCTCAGTGTCTAGAAAAATATCAAGTCAAATATTATTTACAGTCTTCATGGCGAAGATAACATAAATCAGTTATTAGAAATGAGTTATTCAAACTATTATGTTTAGAAATGTGTTAAAAAAACTTCTCTCCGTTAAACAGAAATAGGGGAAAAAAATAAACCGGGTATATATATATATATATATATATATATATATATATATATATATATATATATATATATATATATATATATATATATATATATATATATTTTTTTTTTTTTTTATATATATATATATATATATATATATATTTATATATATAATTTTTTTTTTTTTTTTTTTTTACTTCATAAGGAGCTGAACCCCTGAAAATGAAAAAACCCCTGAAAATGAAAATCCTAAAATCATCCCTGACTAGAAACAAGACATAAAACTTTACGTAAGAAATGAATTTATTTTGCAGTGCTATTTACTATTACTATTTACATGTAAGACAGACAGTTTTGTATCATTTTTTGAGCTTCGCAATTGTATCCAGCAAAAAGAAAACCAACGAAACCTCCTGACCTCTGTAGAAATGAGCTCGGGGTATCCTGGAAACTGTCTTTAATCACAAATGTTTGCCAAAGAAGTTCAGTTTTAAAGCGGGCCAACATCCAGAGGTGAAGCAAACACAGCGCTCAAACCCTGCAAATATTACACTCCAGACCCTTTATTTGAAAACCCTTCAAAGACAACTTGAAGAAAAGAGACCCTGAGTTGAGGAAAAAAAACGTGGGATCTGAGATAGAGCATGCTGGTTTCGCCTCTGTAACCTGTCGTCTTTCTTACACTGCTCTTTTTGTGTCTGTCGGACTGTTTGCTGAGGGATATTAAATGTTTTTTTTACATCAGAGAATCAATTCAGCTTCAATTCAAACACTCCTGAGTTAAGCTCTACTTGGCTGACTTGGCTACTTATGGCTGATCTGGTTTTAAATAAATAATAAATCTGGCTAGATCTGTTGTTTCTTTTTAATATGTTAATGTTAAAGGAATAGTTCCCCAAATTTAAATTACCCCATCATTTACTCTCCCTCAAAACATCCTTGGTGTATATGACTTTCTTCTGTCTGACTTTTATTTTGAAGCTTCAAAAAGGGAAGTCAAACTAACCCAACAGGAGGTTTTGTAACCCGTCGTCTATCTTAAACTGCTCGTTTTGTGTCTGTAGGTCTGTTTGCTGAGAGACATTAAATGTTAGCGAAGGTGAAACTCATTCGTCAGAGCTCAAAGACTAAGAAGAAACAGTGAACAGGGGGAAAATGAGTTTATGAGAAAGAATTTGCTGCCGACTGTTTACTCTTGAGCATTTTCATACTGTTATGCAAGTGTAAATAAATTGTTGATTAACTTGACATAAATAAATTAGTAAAAAAAAAAAAGTAATTTTTTTTATTTAATTTGTGCATAAATACTGCTAATCTCCCAAAAAACCCAATAATTCCAGCACTCCCAGTGATGATTTGTTTATATTATTATTAGTTTCTTTACTCTACAGTCTTATATTTTATGCATGATTCCTTACAAAATCCTCCCAATCAATCACAAATGATGAAATCCTTCCAAAAATATATATATATATTTATTTTTTTTGGTGGTTCAAAGTGAAAATTCATTGATATTTATTTATTTATTTATCAGGATCCCCATTAGACACTACCAAGGTAGTAACTATTCTTCCTGGGGTCCATCGAACATAACACAAAATTACATTAATACGTAACAACAAAGACCAATAAAAACATTAATATACAGAATTCATACATAACATCCAAATCAACAATCCACTTAATATTGTTCTATTAAATATTTTTTAAATTTTTTTTTAAACCTCATTTTACTTGTTAAAAAACATGTAATGTCTGATGGCAATTCATTCCATATTTTCATCCCTCTATACATTACAGTATGTTGCTTTGCATTAGTTTTTGAAATGGGAAGCAAAAAAATTCCTTTTAATGCATGCCCTGGTGTTAAAATGATGACTAACATTACTATATAAAAGTTGACAGTACAATACACTTGGAACTTTTGACACAGAAATATTTCTTATAAAACACAGCAGAGAAACAATTACCCTATCCTTCACCAATAACCAACCTAAAGTTTTATGCATTTTCATAATATTAACTCTTCTATTGCAGTGTAAAATGAGTCGTGCTGCTCTATTCTGGACTAACTGTAATTTATCTAAGTCTTTACTTGATGCACTCGACCATACCATTGGACAGTAATCTAGATAAGAAAGAACAATTGCCTGAACTATTTGAGAAATACAGTACTCTGGTAAAAATTCTACACTTAACATTCAACACACAAAAGGAGTATTGACAATATTTACTTATAAAGATGCATATAAATGAATGCAGTTGGTAGCAATAAGCTGTCTATTTTAGGATTATGCTAGTCCAGTCTGAAAATTAGCATGATAAAAAGCGATATGCTTATAAACCCAGAATAATAAGCACATTTTACACAAAATAATTCATTAGAACAGACTTTTTACCCTCTGTTTCTCTTTTTTCAAAATACTATTTCTTCCTAACCACTGCTAATAAACCTACGCGCTGATGCTAAGCTAATTATAGCACATGCAGAGAAATAGCATAACACAAAATAAAACATGATAATTCCTTTGCCAACTATGCATGATGCCAAACCAGTAAGCGATATGGGTGATTCTAAAATTGGGGGTATATTTTGCATCTCCAAGATAAACCTTTTATTATTTCTCTGAATCGAAAACTTTAATGACAGAGTTCTGAATAAATGGCGGATCACTCCGCTGTATCGATTCCAGATTAATAAAGGGATTAAGCCGAAAAGAAAATGAATGAATGAAGGAGTTTTGAATAAAAGCACAAGTTACATCAAGTAATCTTTAAAGTATATAGTCTGTATGTATTTAAGAACATTTTATCTTGAGAACTGAAGAAAAGGTATTCTATTAATCTATTTAACATTCATCAGGAGACGTCAAATAGACGTATTGAAGATCTATTGAAAGAAAAGGCGCTCTAAAAAAAGTCTTTCAGGTGTAAATACACAAATCAAACAAAAATGTATGTGTGCTATCAGGGTAGAGACTAGCTTAAGTGTTATTGCTAATGTTTTTGTCATATTTACGTTCCTATTTTAAAAAAAATTTGACTTAATTATGAAACCGCATGTAGATACTGCAGTTAAAGAATCTGAAATCATTATAGACGTACACTTACACAGTAGTATGTCAATTTAAAGTAAACTATTTCAGTCATACGTTTTTTTTTTTCTAAATTACCTTACATTAGCATGCTAGATAGGCTAAAAGCTGCTAATAAACACAGCATTTTAAAGAGAGAGCACATACCTACATTGTGTAAATCAGAGCAACTGCTCCTAATTATAGCTATAACTAACCTAAGCTTTTAATAAGGGGTTATTCCCTGCAAAATGTGCTTTTTTTTTGTGAATTCATTTATAGAAGTTTGGCAAATTAGCTGGATGCTAATATTGTTGTGCTGTTTTTTGTTTTTTTGTTTTTTGTCTTTGTCTTTTGTTTGATTGGGTGTTTCTATCATAGCAAGTATTTCCTGATAAATGCATGTAATGAAACAGTCACTCACAGTCTGGACAGAGCAGGGTTTTTCAGGAACAGGAGCTCTGGGAGTTGCTGGAGACGGTTTCTGTTGAGACGCCTGAGGAAAAACCGGGACATACGGCTCACAATTCAGGAAAACCAATTTGAAGATTACTTCCAAACCGAGAAAACATATTGACGCCATTATGGAGATGAATTTGTGCTAGTGTATATTTAGTCGCGCAAACTAGTGCTCAATTTATTTAGCAACTCTGGTACCTGTTATTGGGAAATATTAAAATGGCTTAAAGGGATGGTTCACTTGAAAATGAAAATTTACTTACTATTTAGCTACAGAGTACTACAGAGTTTGGTGTGTATTTAAAGTAACTTACTGGTCATTTTGGTTGACAGTAAGACTATTTAGACGCACTATAAATTGATAATTACAATTTACTGTAATATTTACAGCAACTGTCCATTATGGTTGCCAGCAAAACTGTAAATTTACAAAGTTAATGATTACAATTTACTGGCTATTTTGGTTGCCTGTAAGACCATGAATTTACTAAATGAATAAGTACAATTTACTGTACAATTTACAGCAACTTGCTGGCCGTTTTATTTGCCAGTAAGACTGTAAATTTACAAGCTCACTGTAAAATAATAGGTACAATTTACTGTACAATTTACAGTAATTTACTGTTCATTTTGGTTTCTAGTAAGACTGTAAATTTACAAGCATACTGTAAATTAATATAATTTACTGTTCAATTTACAGTAATTTACTGACCATTTTGGTTGCCAGTAAGACTGTAAATTTACAAGCTCATTGTAAAATAATAGATACAATTTACTGTACAATTTACAGTATTTTACTGTCCATTTTGGTTGCCAACAAAACTGTAAATTTACAAGCACATTGTAAATTAATAGGTACAATTTATGGTACAATTTACAGTAATTTACTGTCCATTTTGGTTGTCAGTAAGACTGTAAATTTAGACGCGCACTGTAATCTAATAATTACAATTTACTGTAAGATTTACAGTAATTTACTGACCATTTTGGTTGCCAAGAAAACTGCAAATTTACAAGCACATTGTAAATTAATAGGTACAATTTACTGTACAATTTACAGTATTTTACTGTCCATTTTGGTTGCCAGTAAGTCTGTAAATTTACAAGCGCAATGTAAGTTAGTAATTATAATTGACTGTACAATTTACAGTATTTTACTGTCCATTTTGGTTGCCAATAAGTCTGTAAATTTAAAAACGCAATGTAAGTTAGTAATTATAATTGACTGTACAATTTACAGTAATTTACTGTCCTTTTTGGTTGCCAGTAAGACTGTAAATTTACAAGCTCACTGTAAAATAATACGTACAATTTATTGTACAATTTACAGTAATTTACTGTCCATTTTGGTTGTCAGTAAGACTGTAAATTTAGAAGCGCACTGTAATCTAATAATTACAATTTACTGTAAGATTTACAGTAATTTACTGACCATTTTGGTTGCCAACAAAACTGTAAATTTACAACCACATTGTAAATTAATAGGTACAATTTACTGTAAAACTTACAGTTACTTACCGGCATTTTTGGTTGCAAGCAAGACTTTTTGTTGCCAAAATGGCCAGTAAGTTGCTGTAAAGTTTACAGTAATTTCTTTACAGTGTAACTTGTTGGAAACTTTTGAGTTTTTTTTTTTTTTTTTTTAAGAAGATATTTTGAAGAATTTTGGAAACCTGTAACCATTGACATCCATAGTCGGAAGAACAAATACTATGGAAGTCAATGGTTACCAGTTTCCAACATTCTTCAAAATATCTCATATTGTGTTCCACAAAAGAAAGAAACACAAACAGGTTTGACACAAGTGTGAGGAAATGATGACAGAATCTTCATTTTTAGATCAACTATCCCTTTAATGTTTATTCAAAGTTAAAATGTTGAATATATGACCCCAAACTCGCTTAGTTTAGACATTATTTCACTCTCTTTATGTTTGAAGTTTAAGTTGAAATGCATGATGGGAACTGAATTATATAGCCTCAACAGACTGGATTCAAGTCATATTTTTAAAAGGTATGAGTTTAATTTTCAGTAATACCTCAGCACTGGATTTTATGTTTTAATTATCACTTAGAGGAGCAAATTAAAATCCTGTTAAATGTAAAACGGGAGTTAATTTTAAAAATGACCATCATTAATATTGCATTAGGGGCTCTGGGAGTCCTAATATTAGACAACTTAAACAGAACCTGCGGGTGAAATGCTAAAATGATCATGGTAAAGCTTGAGGAATGAAGAAAAAATAAAGAACTCACAGTCTGTCCAGCTCCTTCAGATCACTGAAGGCTCCCCTGTCAATGGAGACGATCTGGTTGTCCATGAGGTGCCTGTGTAGATTGATACAATAATTTAAACTATTCTACTATTACTATAAATAAAGCAATATTCAGAACAGAGATTACAAACAGATTCACAGATTCACCCACTGTACAAATATATATATATATAAAAAAAAACATCTATTTACTTGCTCATTGTTTGAATGTTAAATGTGCTCTTGGCTGCCTTTAGTCTGCCTCCTGGCTTTCTTTATGGGTTCTATTAAATTTCTGAACGTCTATACAGCATAAAATAAAACAATACTGAGGAGTATTAAGATTAAAAATAGAAATACATACAAAATTCGGAGGTGCTTCAGGCCAGCGAAGTCATCCTTGCCAATGTGCGTGAGGTTGTTTGCATTCAAGTCCCTTCAAAAATAATAAGAAAGATCAATCATAAGCAAGACATTAATCGCGACATCTCTATAATATATCTCTGATATATGCAGTAGAAGTCAGAATTATTGAGACGGGTCTGGATGCAGACTTAGTGCAGTGCAATCTGAGCTGCATCCAATCTGCTCACCTAACCCCACCTCTAGCCCCACCCATCACAGTGATGTCACTCACTCCATTGAGTGCATTGTGTCTGACGCTGCATCGCCGAGTGATGCAATCTCAGCTTGCATCATAAAGGCTGCATTCAGATATTATTGGAATTATTCGCCCCCCCCTGTTTATTTTTCCTACAATTTCTGTTTAAAATATTCTTTTTCAACACATTTCTGAACATAATAGTTTTAATAACTCTAATAACTGATTTATTTTATCTTTCCCATAATGACAGCACATAATATTAGACTAGATATTCTTCAAGATTCTAGTATACAGCTTAAAGTGACATTTAAAGGTTTAACTAGGTTAATTAGGGTAAAGGTAGGTTAATTAGGCAAGCCATTGTATAACAGTGGTTTGTTCTGGAGACAATCCAAAACTAATATTGCTTAAAGGGGCTAATAATATTGACCTTAAAATGTCCAGAGATGTATGAAGTACTAGAGACCCAGACTTAAGTAAAAGTACAAGTGCTCTATCAAAAAAGTGACTTGAGTAGAAGTTGAAGTGATCTTTAAGCACCATACCTACGTGGAAGTATACTGAAGTATTCAACATTTTTTTCATTCATTCATTCATTTTCTTGTCGGCTTAGTCCCTTTCTTAATCCGGGGCCGCCACAGCGGAATGAACCACCAACTTATCCAGCAAGTTTTTACGCAGTGGATGCCCTTCCAGCCAAAACCCATCTCTGGGAAACATCCACACTCACATTCACACCCACACCCATACACTACGGTCAATTTAGCCTACCCACTTCACCTGTACCGCATGTCTTTGGACTGTGGGGGAAACCGGAGCACCCGGAGGAAACCCACGCGAAGGCAGGGAGAACATGAAAACTCTACACAGAAACGTCAACTGAGCCGAGGTTCGAACCAGCGACCTTCTTGCTGTGAGGCGACAGCACTACCTACGGCGCCACTGCCTCGCCTCAACATTTTTTTCGTTCTGAAATATTGCAAGTAGTTTATTTCAATATTTACTACTCAAAAACTGAAAGTAAAAGTACAAGTATTGTGTTACGTAGTTATTTAAGACAGCAGTCAAAAGACATCTTAATGTTTTGTTTATTTTAAATATCTTTTTTGGGGGGGCACGTGATTAAGCAGAACGAAAAGAAACATGGGCTGTCAATATCAAGTACACAAAGTTCAGAGATGTGGGCCAGATCGGGGTCAGAGAAATTTTGCTATGGGGGAAGTATCAGCAACAAGACAAGGTAAAGACGTTAAAGAAAGCTCACTAATATCTTAATAGTCTGTCCCTGAACAGCATGAGATTAATTTAGTCTTCCTATACACTTTTTGGCACCAATGCACAGGCCGTATATATAGAAAACCTAAGAATTGGAAATCAAATCCATGAACACTATAGACCCAATCCCAATTCTACCCCTTACCCCTACCCCTCGTTTTGTGCGTAGGGGTGTCCCAGCTAAAATAAAAACTGCTTAATAATTATCTATAATCCCTAATCATAACTCTAGACAGCAGTCCCACAACCTTCTAACACTCGATGACACTCGAATACCCTGTCAGTAATGTTTAGTGGCTGGGGATGAGCTTTAACCACTTAAACTCTGCAGCTATTTAGGGATTTCCGCCTGGATTTTGCCTACCCAAATTTAAAAGCTTCCCAAATCCACATGCAGAGGTGTAAATGCAAAAATTTGGTATCATTTTAAGGAAAACCTTTTGAATTTTCATAAAACACTATTGAAAGTGTTTAAAATAACTTTCAAGAGTTCACACTTAGCTGATGATTGATTATAAGCAAGTTTGGCATGCTGTCCTGGGAGAGAGCCCTGAGCTCGAAGGTTCTTGATCCCTGGGCTCCCTCCCGTTGGAGGAAGAGAGGGGAGCCTCGAGCTCAGGTACATCTCGACAACTCCCCCTTGATAAGAGCTGATGACTAAAAATTGAATGCTATTACAAAATATGCTGCGTTATAAGATTACCTGAATTGCAAATTTAGATTTATCAATTTTCTTGTTGCAGAACCAGCCGTGTTCAATCATAATCACGTGCTCCTCTCGAAATTAGTTTATGAATAAACTTTACGTATATGTCGTCTGTGTTATAATAAACACCTAAAAAAAAGAGGCACTTTTTGTATTTTTTTTTATAAACTCAAGTTTGAGAGTGTATATTTTAGGGTCTGTGTGGTTTAGCTTTTAGTCTAATCATAGGAAAAAAGAAAAATGTCTCCACCATAATCTATGCAGAAGTTATTGTATTCCAACTGATGAGAGGTGCTGTACAAGCCACAGAGACTGATCCTTGTTTTCATATTTCACTATTCTTTTGTTTGATCAAACATAATTCACTGTGTTTGGACCACATCAGACATATAAAATGATTACTTATGCACATCAACTCAAAAGCAGAGGAGAAATGGCCCTGATGGGCACAGCATAAGGTAAGAGATGACAGCTGTCTGTGCTATCTGGGGCTGCCTATTGATCATGAATGTATTGTTTACATTTCTGCGCCATGGAAACACCACAATTCATTCAGCAACTGTTTGGCATATGAATATAATTCAGTAAAAAGAATGCTAGAACTGTATGAGCACCAGCAAGAGCTTTCATTTAAGCTATAACTTGTACATGTGTCACATAAAAAAAATATGAAAATGAACCAATGTAAAATACCCAGCTTGGGTATCCAAAATACTGTGTATTTAAGTGTAAATAACTTTTATACAGTAAAATAAAAACCAAAGTGATGCATATGTGCATAAAATATAGATTCTACACTTTCAAACGAAACCACTTACGGGGGTCTGGTGCAACGCTAGCCCTTTAAATCTGAAAGCGAAAGTCGATGACGTCACGGACCCGGTACCGGGTCCGCAGAGTTTAAGTGGTTCAGTGTCTGCAATAATGTTAATGCTGTTTTTGATGTGTTTACATTGATGAATATGGCCACAGTGTAAATGCACAGTATAGTTACGAACTTATTGCCACATTAGATCGTTATAATAACATGATATATGCCTTCAGTGATTTCCTGAAGATCAATACCAAAGAATAGCGCAACTGGAATAACTACAGCAGTCGCGATCTGTGATCTCATATGAAGCAGGAGATTGTGATGACGTGTGCACGTGCTGAAGTGCTGTCCCAATTCTTGGGGGTAAATTTTAAAGCCCTTCCCCTTCACCGACTCGGTCCCAGTCATTCCCCTCACTGGCCAGCAGAGGCCATCATCACCGGACTACTGACATTACGTCATGCTCAGACACTGCTTGACACACACCTGCAGCACATTCCCTTGATCACCACACACTCACGTATAAGCAGCTCACACACACACACATCATTGCGAAGTCTTGTTCTGCCCCTGCAAACACTACTGAGCGTTTCTACTCCTTGCCTGCTTTCCCCGATGCTAACCTTGACTGTATATTTGCCTTGCCTTGCCTTGCCTGCCGACTGTCTTTAACCCAGCCTAAATTCCGACCGTGATCCTAGCCGACTGCCTGCTTTATAACCCTGTGTTTGCCTGCCGCCAGCCTATTGACTTAATACAACTGTGTTTGATGTGAGTTCGCACACTAGTAACATCTGTGTGCTCTTTACTAAACTCTGTTTAATAAATATACTGCACATAAATCCCTCTGTATCAGACTCTTCGTTACAACACCCTTGGTTGTAAGGGGTAGGGGTAGAAAAATAATATTAATAAATAATTGTGCATCTAAAGGATGCTCTGTTCATTATTAGCGCGTGTAAATTTGTAGTGGAAATACACATTCACGCACACATGTAGACTACTGTCGCCTGGGACATGGGCTGCAATGGCACTACTGTGGAAAAGAGCCCAGGTGTGACCAATCAGGGTGGTGGATGAGGTGCCTCTTATAATCCTTTAATTAGTCCAGCATCTGCGACGACACTGGGACCATTACCATGGAAAATTGGACACAAAAGCAGCTTGATCTCTTCATCTCCTACGGTTTCTTTAAGAGATGGAAATAAGCAGCTAATAGCGCATCACAGATTCATGTGGCAATACAGAGCCTGCATATAATCCATGCATGTACAAGGCTTTATTTAGAAGAGTTAGTAATCTTGAGAGAATGAATAATTACATTTATTTAATCATTTACTTTTTCATATTTAATTAACTAGTAACCTTTGGGGTGGTTTTCTCGACTTATTTTCTCAGGGACACTCATTTGAAATATGCATGTGAACCATTTTGATATTATTAGCACTTTTACATGTGCAAAGGTTAAACAGCTTTAATGATTTACAACTCGTTTCCACCAGGGCAAAAGGCAAATGTTGGGTCTTCAATGTCAAATCAGTTGGAAGTGTTTTCAATAATAACAACTGTGTATTGACTTTGATGACCCGAGCAACATTTGTTCTGAGTGTGATGAAGATCTAATGAACACTGAATGCCAAATTTAATAATGTGTGATTTGGACTATTGTTAAATAATACGGTCAGATGCAATATTTGGTGGAGAATGCAGGCAAAGTTTGAACGTTTTTCCCTCCTTTGTTTTATGCCAAGTACAAACGCCATCATTTATACAGAGATTGAATTATTTTATATTTATTAACCCTTCCCTTAAAACCCTGATCACACTGCATACTATAAACATTGACTGTAATAAGCAGAAAGAAAATATAAGAGAGCAAAAAAAGCTGTCAAAAATGTATTGTTTTGGTAGAAAAATTAAAAAGTAAGACGGAGTAGAGTTGCTGGTAACAGGGTTGACAATTTAGCTTTGGATCTAGATGTTAGCTTCTACAAAAATGGACCAAATGCAATATTAAATGTTAAAGAAATGATTCTG